AGGCGATAAGGAGGGCGTCATCCACATTTTATGTGAATGCCCCCTATTAGCACTCCGTCGCTATAAAATCTGGGGCCAGGCTTTCCTGAAACCAGAGGACTTACAACAAGCGGCTGTCACCAGCCTTATTAGCCTAGTGAGAAACACAGGGCTGGGGCTGTGTGACTGACCGAAACTAAGGCGGAAGTTACAAAAGATCGTATGATTTAGGTGACTCTGGGCGCTTTAAGTGACCAGCCGCACTTTTTTTTTATTCTTTATTCTTTTTTCTGATTTTTCAAGATTTTTTATAGATTTCAATCTTCTCTCTCACCTCGAAAAGTTAACTTTCTCATAAGACTAATATATTTGCACTTCTGGATTAAGTATTATGAATAATATTAGACGGCCGAATGAGTACAAACTCAACCAGAATGTTTCTATTCATATTAAATTTCGTTTAGAATTTATTTCAGATTTTAATCTTCAAAATTTCAGTTATGTTCATCCTACTTTAAATGGAAGCGTCGTTATGAGAAGCGCTTGATTGGCTGCAGTTTATCGATCAATAGCTCATTAAGGATAATCGGGTGAGCCCGGAGGGTTAGAAAAAAAGCAGCCATTTTTCTCTTTTATTTTTTACGTATTCTATAAATGATGGAAAAGGCGTGTGCAAAGTTTCAGACTGCTGGGAAACATGGTTAATTTATTATGAATTTTTGAAAAAGTGGTCATTTAACCCGTGATCTTATGGAAATCACAAAAAAAACTGCAAAACCCAAGGAAAAAAGCAGCCAAAGTTATGAAACTTTAGACACATTTAGAACATGTGATCAATGATTTTTTGAATGAAAAAGATTGTCGCCTAGGACCATTGTTTATTAATAATAGCGAAAAAAGTACTGAAAAATGAAATTTCTGCGCACGCAGCCCAAACGAACAGCAACCTCTCAAGTACTGATCGGGTGGGGGTAGCGCGGACAATTTAAACGTCTCTTGAGAGAGAGCGATGAAGCGTTCTGATTGGAACTCCCTCGAACGAGTGGTACCAGCTCATGGTGAAAAAAAAACACTACCGACGATGTTGCCACTTTTTCGCATGGATTAATATTTTTTCATTTATTAAAAAAAAACGATCTAAAAATCATTCAATGCGTAGAACAGATACAAATAAATTTGATTAGCTCCAAAAATAATTTTTAACCGGAGATACTCCCTAATATTGCCTGAACTTTGAATCCGAATGGGAAAATTTTTTTTGTTCAGCGATTGGTTTTCTGCCGGAAAACAATAGAAACCCCTCCGCCTCACCTCCTACATTTCCTCCTCGCCCGATTATCCTTAACAAAACGACAGAGGTAGAATTTTAATTGGAGTTTTCATCTCGAAATAATCCTCCAAACTACCCTTACAATATCCACGATCAGTTTAGTAAAAAATGAAAAAAAAAACTTTTCAAAATAGATTTTTTGCGGAAAATCGGATGGACTATAAAAACTATTTGTTGACATTCATTTCTTAATCTAGCATTTCTAGAGTAATTGGCAAAGATGATTATTTGATTCAAACGAATCATCTGGAGCTTACCATCTACAGGAGCTCCCAACAAATGAATATCATGTGAACGATGTTTCTTCAATGGCGGTTCATGTGCTTGTGGCTGACTTTCTTCAATGTCTTCGACGTCTGGGGCGATAGGGAGAAACTGTAGAGATCCAATGTCTTCAGTCTCTTCATCAGAGCTACAGAATGCAGCTACCCTATCAATGGCAGCAACATCTACCTCAATTTCTTCATCATGTGCCTCCTCTCCCTGTACAACTGATTTATCCTCATCACTCAAATCGAATTCACTCTCACGCTCTTCATACTCAACATTTTCATCCAACTCTTTAAAATCGGGAGCAAATGCGGACCAATTTTCAACTTGATTTTGCGCCCAAATCGAAACAACTCCTGATGATATTGATGCTATTATCGGCCGAACTGGATGCCAAACCACATCACATAATAGTTCTCCCTTGGTACCATGTAATATTTTTACTAGATTTCCAATGCTCTTTTCCCAAACGTAAAGTGCATGTTGTCTGGCAGAACCCGCGCATACATACTCTCCATCACCAGAAAAACAACATTTCTTCCACATTGTTTTATTGACTAAATCCTGAAGTTTTTGAATTGGCTCTGGTTCCCCATCTTCACCACACGCTAATATTTCTGTACTATCGTAGACACGTATTACACGATCAGATGTGTTGACTAAAAAACATGATCCACGTCTGGCAAATTCAATACTCTTCACTGCTGTATTACTGACTGTACCCTGGGATATCTTATAGGATGCTTTGATGCTCAAGGTATCGGAATCGAGGACAATTATTCTACCTCGAGCATTGCCAGTATAGATGTAAACACCACGACGATCGAATGATGCTACAATATTCAGATCACTCTGAAACATGTATTCAAATGATATGATATGAGAGCATAATAATTGTTTTTCGTGTCACGGGACTTGAAAAACCCCATTTTCGTGGCGCTGGGCGCCACGAAATTGGCGTCTTTCAGGCCCCTCGACACAAAAATTAATATACACACCTCACTATGGAAAATATATCACCCTCCCCCACGTGCAAGATTGCCTTCCGAGCCGAAGGCGAGGATGGCAAGCACGTGGGGGAGGGTGATCTGTTTTCCAAGGCTCGGGCATGTATTGTACTATTTCCGTACTGACCTTGACTTTTTCTCGTCAAGGGATTGGTATTGGCCCTTCCCCAAACTCGTAAAAGTGAAAATTACTACGGAAAAATATCGTTCATGACTAGTGCCATAGGGTTTTTTTACTCGCGTGGTTCGCCAGTTCTCGCCTTCGGCTCGGACGGCAACTGCACGCCAGTCAAAAACCCCATGGCACTCACCCTGAAATATACTATTTCATTATTCATGATTCTACATAATAAGGGAAGTTCCTGTCATCTGGAATGAGAGTTTTGGAGTTATTTCGTCCCGAATTTTAAGAGTATACATGAGCCTTTCCAGGCCAACTCGTGAAATTGGAAACCTTTGTCTCAAATCGGCTTAAAAAAAATTCTGATGATACCCCGAGGCTATATGAGTATCGTACCAATTTTTTTCTCGATTGTTTAAAACGTTAAGTTGTTATAAATTTTTTTAAATTTAATTTTTTTCACATTTGGGTGAGGGTGAGAATTTTGAAAAAAAAAACAATAAGAGCAATTCATTTTTATGTTTCGATAAATAAACGTGATAAAATATTAATTTCCATATAAACTATGTTTTTCTTGATTCTACTATTCAAAAAGTTAATTTTCGAAAACTAGGCGGGACGCGCACTTCACGCACGCTAGCAAAGTTACATCCCGAGTTGAAATATGAGTTTTCTATTAATCCTCTGTGCTTCATTTTCGTGCTCTTTTAATCCAATTGCCAGAAATACTCTTTTAGTTTTCTTTTGAGAAAAAACATACTCTCCGAGGAGTATTAAAAGAGGAGTTTGCGGATCCTCATCCTCTTTAAATGTTCTGTTTGGGGATGAGAATAATTTAGGTCTCTTCGAGATCTGTTGAGTTACATTTTTCACTCCTGTTTAATAATACAGATACGTATGCAAAAATTTAATAGAAAACTTTGCGAATTTGCTGCGGAATTCTATTGAATTCCTGATAGAATTCTATTGGTAATTCTATTCGTTTCCTTCTGATTGTATTGCAAAATTCAGTCTTATCGCGCGTTTTTTTTACAGAAATTCCCTAGAAAAAAGTGAATACATTTCGATTTTCGCACAATTAATTTTGTTGCTATTTTTTTTATAAAAATTTTGTGGCCATAATTTTTCTCAGTTTTTTTCCGTGCATTGATGAAAGCAAAAGAAAAGAAAATACAGTAGAAAAAACTTTGAAAATTCATGGCTGAGGATTTCCATATAGAAAATCTCAACAGAAAAAATTTTATAGATTTTTTCTCGTCAAGGGATTGGTATTGGCCCTTCCCCAAACTCGTAAAAGTGAAAATTACTACGGAAAAATATCGTTCATGACTAGTGCCATAGGGTTTTTTTATAATAAGAGCAATTCATTTGAAAAAATTTTATAGACTTTTATCTATAAAATCTATAAAAAATTGCGCGATAAAGCTTCGAAATTCTTGTTACGTCATAACGACGTACAAAAATTATTATTAATTCCAAATTTTGGAAATAATAATTTTGGAATTAAAAAAAATTTATTTAAATACCAATGGAATCATACGATTCCAATGGTACATTAAACCGATCGTCTTACATCCGGTAAGACGATGGAAAAATTTATAATTTGAGATCATTCATACTACACGGGTGGTATGAACCCGCGTTGCCGAGGGCCTTATCGCCCTGGTTTCGGGTTGCTGTTGCGAGGCAGTCCACCTCGTAACAGTCCCACCATTGTCCAATGCTTCCCTCCCCTCATCTGACTCTTCACACCTAACGACGCATCTTTATTTTTCCCTCCTCCCCGCGGTCCTCGCGCCGAGAAACGGTTCACGCGCGCTTGTTCCCCTATTCCCTCTTCTCCGCGCCCCTCTTACCGGGGAACGCGACCACGCTGGCTACACCAATTGTTCCGCTCCCCTAATAAGACGCGTGTCTCCTCGATCTACCTACCCCCTCTCTCTACAGAGTGCACTCAGCACTCATCCACATCTTATTCCCCACCCCCATAAAATTAAAAATTCGTGCATGCATTTACATACACGAATTAATATTTGACGACGCAAAAAGGGCATCGCCCATGCAGTCTGTCGATCGGTCAGTCAGTCGTGTCGTGATTCCGCCCCGGAAAAGAACAAATCTAAAGTAAAAAGGAATACCAAAGGATAGCTAAAACCAGCAAGAAGAAGGAATAATGGTAAAGGAGCAAGAAGGAATAACAATAAAGGAGCAAGTAGGAAAAACCCAATAAAAGGAAGGTAAACCCAAATTTTAAATTCGTGAGTGTTTTTCCGAAAATTGACGAATCAATTTTTGCGATTAAATTCAAAATTGAAATATTATTTTCGCGAGTGTTTTTCCGAAAATTCACGGATAAATTTTTGCGATTAAATTAAAAATTTGAAATATTATTTTCGCGAGTGTTTTTCCGAAAATTTACGATCAATTTTTGTGATTAAATTCAAAATTTGAAATATTATTTTCGCGAGTGTTTTCCCGAAAATTTACGAATCAATTTTTGCGATTAAATTCAAAATTTAACATTTTATTTTCGTGAGTGTTTTCCGAAAATTTACGAATCAATTTTTGCGATTAAATTCAAAATTTGAAATATTATTTTCGCGTGTTTTTCCGAAAATTTACGAATCAATTTTTGCGATTAAATTAAAAATTTGAAATATTATTTTCGCGAGTGTTTTTCCGAAAATTTACGATCAATTTTTGTGATTAAATTCACAATTTGAAATATTATTTTCGCGAGTGTTTTCCCGAAAATTTACGAATCAATTTTTGCGATTAAATTCAAAATTTAACATTTTATTTTCGTGAGTATTTTCCGAAAATTTACGAATCAATTTTTGCGATTAAATTCAAAATTTGAAATATTATTTTCGCGAGTGTTTTTCTGAAAATTTACGAATCAATTTTTGCGATTAAATTCAATTTCGAAATATTATTTTCGCGAGTGTTTTCCGGAAAATTACAAATCGAATTTTGTGATTAAACTCACTTTTTGAAATATTATTTTGCGAATATTTCCCGAAAAATTACAAATCAAATTTAGTGATTAAATTCAATTTTTGAAATATTATTTTGCGAATATTATTGTTTCGAGTGTTTTTCCAAAAATTTACGAATAAATTTTTACGATTAAATTCAAAATTGAAATATTATTTTCGCGAATGTTTCCCGCAAAATTACAAATAAAATTTTGTGATTAAATTCAATTTTTGCAATATTATTTTGCAAATATTTTCCGAAAATTACAAAAATCAAAATTGTAATTCAATTTTTGACATTTTATCGTTTCGAGTGCTTTCCGAAAATTTACATATGAAAATTTGCGATTAAATTCAATTTTAACATTTTATTTTCGTGAGTATTTTCCGAAAATTACATAATCAAATTTTGTGATTAAATTAGATTTTTCACATTTTATTTTGCAAATAAAAATCCGGAAATTCCGCATTAGATTTTTCGCAATAAATTCCAATATTCTGGAACTAAAAATTCACCAATCAATTAAAATTTCCCTTATTTAATTTCGGGAATAAATTCCGAAATCCTTACATTTAAATTTTATAAATTAAAAATCTAATTTCTCATATTAAATTCGGGAATATTTTCCACATTTTCCACCATTAAAAAAAAATCCGTTAAATTCACCATTTTCCTGTTCTTATTTCGGGAATATTTTCCAAATTTTCCATAATTAAAATTCCGATAATTTCACCATTTTTCTGTTCTAATTTCGGGAATATTTTCTAAACTTTCCACAATTAAAATTTGATTTTAACCTTAGAAGTTCATATTCCGAATTTTTGCGAACTAAAAATTTATTTATTTCTGATTTCACTTTAATGTCGTCATAAAAAAAAAAATTCTTTTCGTAAAAAAGGTTCAATTACCTTCAAGTATTCAAATATTAAAATTCTTTGGAACACTTCCGTGGAACAAATTCCATTCCTTCCGGTTTCTTCATTTAATAAAATCTTACCCCTTCCAAGTTACCATCGTCTTATAAGGAGCATCATCCGAAGATCCTCAGTGAAGACAAGGGACCAGAGGCTATTGATCAAAGGCAATTGACTAGAGGCTAAGGATAAACCTGAGGCATTACCTGAAGCATTATCTGAAGACCATCTTCCAGTTAATCGAATTATATATATATATATATATATATATATATATATATATCCTAAATTTTAATTACAGCTACCGTGAATTAATTTAAATTGACCATTATTATTTCATTGTTGCTTTCTTGTGGATTTCCGAATCAAAGAATTCTTTATTTTCCACTGTCTTTAGAGACATTAGTATCGATTTCTTCGGATTGAATTCAATTATGTTCAATGTCTGATAATGATTATATTATATATATTTAACACCAAATATTGTTGACAAATGAATAGACCTTCCATTATTTTTATTAATTAGAATCATTGTGCTTGAATGAGACATTTCATTCAGGAATTGAAACCTTTTATAATTATTACTCCATGTGAAAGGGAAATTCTCACCCGCATTAATACTTTGAATTCTTCAAGTTCAGAAGTAACAATTTCCAATGATTATNTATTGTGCTTGAATGAGACATTCCATTCAGGAATTGAAACCTTGTATAGTTATTACTCCGTGTGAAAGGGAAATTCTCACCCTCATTAATACTTTGAATTCTTTAACTTCAGAAGTAAAAATTTCCAATAATTATTGATTGTTGATCAATCAATTCAATTTATTTT